CCACCCGAGCTGCCCTCCGGATCTGGCCCCTTCGATGCCGCCACCACCACAGCCCGGCTCTCAGATGCCACCGCCTTCCCCCCGTACACCTCCGAGCTGGAGCCCGAGGACACCACCCACCTGCACCGGCTGGATGCTGGGGACGGTACGTGCCCGTGCGGGTGGGTTGCCTGCGGGTCGCTCCCGCAGCAGCTCGGGATGTCCTCGCTGTGGATTTGCTCTTTATGGGCCTGTCACCTCCCAGGAGGTGTTTAAACCACCAGAGGTGACCCATCCCCAGCCACACTGCTGCGGGGTGGGGAAAAGCACCTGTATTACCTGCTCAGGGCAACTTTCCTGCCAAAAAGCCTCCGCTGCGGAGTGCTTGCCAGCCCCAGAGCAGTTGCCGAGGCCTTTCTCCCTGCCCCAGGTCTGACCCATCGCAGCAGGTACCTGCAAAAAGTGCCCTGAGCACAGGCCGGGCTCCCCAGGGCAGGAGCATGCCTGAAGCTCTTTGAACAGGGAGTGCGAGCACCTTCCCTGGCTCCTGACCTACAGCGAACGCCTGTTGTGATGTGGTTCTGCAACAAAGCAAGCAGCTCTCTGGCTGTTAACAGGAAAGCCGAGCGCCAGTGACCCGCTTTGTGGCAGCTGTCCTTGTCACTGCGAGCTGGCTAAGGAGGCAGTGGCTGGCTCCGGCCTCCTGCCCCGAGGGCTCAATGCTGCTGGGGCACAGGACCACACCTTGGCTGTGTGGGGACATGGGAACGGCCACCGTGGCCAGTGCAGGGAGCTCCAGGGCAGGAGTGTGGCCGGATGGCTGGGGACATGTGGGGATGATCCCCGTAGACCTTCCCGTCTGAGACCCGCTGGCTCTGCTGACCTCACACCACCTCGTTCTCTGTCCCTACAGGCTCGCTGGGGCCCGGAGCTATCGGTGCCATTGTCATCGCCTCCCTCCTGGGTACGTCTGTGCTTGTGGCCTTGGTTGTCATCACGCTGAGAAAGTTCTCGACCTCCTGAACTCAATAAAAGATTTTTCTGTACCACAACCAGCCTGTCTCCTGCCCTCAACTGCTCCTGCTCCCCATCTGCCTGGGGCCCTCGGGGAAGAAATGCTGCCACGCGTGTGGCAAAGGGCGCTCCAGCCTCTGTGCTGGGCAGCGAAGCTGCACCCCAAAGCGCTCTTTGCTCTTAGTGTGTGGATCTCCTGGGTGTACGCGGACCTGGCAGCGTCACCCGCGCAGTCAGGAGGGACCTGTGGCAGTGAGTGGCTTTGAGCTGGCAGCAGCTCTCGTGGTCGAGTTGAGGTGGCGGTTAATGGTGTTGGGCATCCCCTTGCACAGCTTTCCTAGGGAAGGGTTGTTCAGTTGGTGTAAACCACCCCGATACTTCCACAGTCTCACCCCACCCCACGTTCCTGTTCAGCCCCACTTTCCCCTTCCCCTGCGTTTGGGCCAGTTGCCCCCCACCAGTTGCACTGGAGGGGACTGGAGAGGAAGAAGACGCACGCGTGTTGCTTTGGTGCTGGCTCGCTCAGCTATATTTCATCACACGGAAAAATGAGACAACAAGAAGTTCCCCTCAGTTCACTGAGGCAGCCTGGCGGGAGCCGGGGGGCTCCAGCCCGTGCTTGTGGGCCCCAGGCCTGGCCCTGTACAACACTTGAGACCACTGAAACGGGGGCGTGCAGGGCTGGGTCTGAGGAAGGAACGCTGGATGCCACTTGGTGCCTGAAAACGGCACAGCCTGTGCCTAGGGTTTGGAGTCCTAAAAAGTCACAACAGAGCAAGAGGGGCCAGAGCGAGTCCCAGGGCTTGGCGGTGGATTACGGGACAGGGCCTGGGAGCCCTGAGCCCCTCTGCCCCAGAGAAACGCAGTGAGGAACCGCCATCCTGGCACTGGGGAACCTGGGTCAGCCCCTCCCCTAGCGAAAGAGCTGTTTCTGATGGGTAAGGGAGCATCTCTGTGCCACGAGAAACATCCCCGGGGGGCGTGTGGGGCTGTAGTGCCTGGGCTGGGCTGGCTGCTGGGCTCTGATGCTGGAGGATCTGGGATGTGGCCGTTTCTCAGGTAATTTTACAGACTTCCTAGAGCTGGAGCTCCTCTGGGGTTTGCATTAAGAGAATTTGTGGTTGCAGCAAGGTCTGGACCCTGAGCTGGAGGTTTGGTTGTACTCGGAAAGCTGACGGTGGGGTGCTGCTGGGGTGGGCCTGGCTTGGGGTGTCCCCATTAAATGAGCCCAATGCACCAGACTGGAGACTCGGGTCCCTTCCTGGCCCCTGGCTCTCGGTTGGGCACCAGCAGGTGGCCGGGAGCTTGACTGGCGTGAGCTGCCCTGGGGCCCCCTCCCTGGGGTGCTACAGGTGGCTGGGGCAAGCAGAGCCCTGCTGGCTGTTGTCATGTGCTAACGCGGTGGCACTGAGCTGGGCCGGAGGGGGGACAACGCCTTTGCTCCCCCTTCGCTGCTGCGGCTCCCACCAGTTTGGTCCTAGGGGCTGGCTGCAGCCCCCCCAGTGCAGGACTGACTCCTGGAACAGTCCCGGAACAGCTGGCCCAGACAATATGGACAGCCCCTGCCCTCCCTCGGCTGGCTCCAGCCTGGCACCACACCCCCCACGTGTAACCTCGGCCCAGCTCACGCACCGGGCTCCGCAACTCCCCTCCAGGGGCCCC